TTCACATATTTCAATGCTACTACTGATCAATAGGCACGAAAATAAAATTATTCAAAATTAAAATAAATTCACCAGACGAGACCAATACAGTTAAACTATCTTGTCTTACTCACCTGCACCATAGATTCTGTTAGAACAGCCTCATTCACCTCCAAGATGACAGTTTTGATCTCCTGATAGGGCATACGAAAAGAACCCAGGAAGATTGCTGCCAGAAAATGAGAAACAAAATGTTCCTTCCATTCTCTTTCAATCTATTCTACATACTGCTGCTGGTATATTTTTTGTTTATTTTTACAACTGTTTTATTAAGTAACCAGTTTATAAAGTCAAACCAGTGCAGTGACTTATTGGGAGAATATGAATTTCCCTCAGTCACATCTTGATCCGCAGCATACAAAGGGCAAGGCAGTACATTAAACACAACACAAATCTCAACAGGGCTTGGTTTAAGTACAACACCCTTGCTCCCATTTGCCCTTTTTATTCCACAGCTTTAAATAACATGTCCGTGGGCTAGAGTCCCCATCCAAGCAGGTGAGATAGAGGTTCTGTGGTTTCCATCTAACATCATAAGTACCCTCTTCCCCATCCCCACTAATCTACTCAAAATACGTGGATTCAACTCCATAAAAATGCTATTAGAAAAAAAAAAGTGCTATTAGAGGGGGAAAGAAGGCCTCATGGAACTTAAGTTCTATAAGAGATCAGAGGGATAAACTAAGGAAGGATCTCCCAGACATATTTCAAGAATTCTGGGTATAATGATCTCAATGCGGTCCAATGCTGCTGTGTCTCCTTCCCTGGAGAAATCCTAGGATACTGAGACTAGATTCTCCTTCTGGAGCCATGTTGGCTACAGCTATCCCCAAATTCAGTAAGAAGGTGCTCTCTAGTATGTTGTAGTTATCCTTAAAACTCTTCAGCTCTAGGGAGCATTTGGCTCTTTGACTCTTCTGGCTGGAAGGCAGACAGGCAACCTGGATAGTTGCTCGAGAGGAAACTTCATGAGACTGTGTTGGATCCTTAACTGCCTACTGCTGCTGCCACTGGGAGCTCTCACCATGGGCTTTGACAGTGGCAGCCAGTTCACTCAGTGCTTCCTGATAGTGCAGATATTCAGTCTGGCCAAAGATGCCAGTCCCACATCGAGCTGTCTCATAGCCTTCTAGCAGGGTATCAGTAAGAGCTTTGCAGACACCCTTTAAGGAGGTGTTTGTGTTTCAAAGCTCCAGCAGATAAGAGCATCAGGGAACGAGGATACCAGCCTTCTGAATGGAATGGGATCTCAGAGGCATGAATAGCATCCAATGCTTTCATCTGTACAGGTAGTTGTAGCAGTTGATTTCCTGGCGTCTTCAGCTGCAAAAATTTAGTATCGTCCTCTTCAAGAAGCTGGGGTTCCTAATTTACATCCGGGGCCTTGGGGAGTTTGATGTCAATCTCTTTCTTCAGATCCTTGGGAGCGTTTTGCTCCACAGGGATATGAGGGCCTCTTTGGGACTTGAGAGCAAAATGAATGATCTGTCTCTTCACAAAAATGAACAGCAGCACAAATACCAAGCTCCTGTAGGCCATCACGAGCACGACATTCACCCTGGACAACCAGTTACCGCCAGACACCATGGTCTCCCTCCAGCTTCATTAGCTTGGGCTCTGTAGTAGCAACGACCCATGGGTTCCTCGGTGCTCCCTGGCCACTTCCTTATGGGGGAAGCCAAAGGTGGGCCTGGTCAGAAAAAATGGTGGCCAGGAGGAACACAGGAAATCTTCCTAAAATACTGCTTTTATCATGTCTTGATTCTGCTCAAAAAACCTTTTAATGGCTCTTCAATGGCTATAAAAGTCCAAACTCTTCATCCTAGAATTTAAAGACTTCCATGATCTGACCCCCTCCAATCTGTTCAGCCTCAGTTTCCACTGCCAGGTTACATTAGCCCTTCATTCCAACCAAACCCATCTATTTGCCATCTCCTGAATGTCCCTTCTTCATCACCACATCTTTGCTATGGAGATGACCTACTTCCTCCTCCTCTTCCTTTCTAAATCGTGTCCATTCAAGTTCCAGATTCAATCTCATTTGCCAAACTACCTGATCCCTCTTCACATTCTTTACTACCTATATTACTCATTTGGAAATTATATATTATTTGGTGGTATCTCTTTTAGGGCAGGAAAGTGGAAAGAATACTAGCTAGACTTGCACTGGGGAAATGTGGGTTCCAATTCTGGCATTTACATTTACTAGCAGTGTGACCATGAACAAATCACATCCTCTCTCTGAGTCCTGTTTCTTTATCAGGGTTATCATGAGGAAAGTACTTTGTCAGATCGAAGATGTTGGAGTTATACTTCCTGAAAGCAGCGAGTTTCATTTTTTGTCCTCATATTCCTAGTTCTTGGTACTGTCTTAATACATGCTTGTTGAACTGAATTGCTACTATAGCTTTTTCATATATGAATGGCACGCCTCTTCAATCATACTATATGTTCTTCGACGACAGTAATCGTCTTTTACACTTATCTTTTGTGTCCCTTACAGTGCCTAGTATGATGCCTTACACAGAGTTAAGTGTTCAATATTTCTTGATCATGCAATCCAATATCAGGAGTTACATATATGTTCATTACATCTTTCTATCCACTATGTTCTCATATGCACAAATCAATATCCAGCCTAACTTCTAGCAACCATTTTCTTATTTGCTTTGTAGTGAAATTTCTGACCCAAAAGTTCATTTTGGAAGCAGAGAGGATAATTAATTTTTGAACCCTAGGACAGACCAAACCTCAAGGATTACTCTGGGCTCATCCGGACCAAGCCAATGGCTCTTCCATTTAAAGAAAATGTCCCCATTACAATGAGAAAGGCAAGAATGTGAAATAAGCAGGTGGAAATTACAAGTCCAGAATCACAGCACCTCAAAAACAGCAAGGACCTCAGAAGCCACCTAGTCTACCCTTGCCTGCACAAAAATGTCCTTCATAATGTCCTTAACAAGTGATCACCCAGTTTTCAGTCCATGATATCCAGGGGAAGGAGGGGGAAGCTCTTGAGATGGTACATTCTGGACTACTTTAATTATTAGGTACAGCTGAAGCCAAGTTGCTAGGAAGCTATTTCCCTTCATTGTGCAAAAGTGAATCACAGTTATACTTACAGAGATTCTGGGCTGTTTTTGAATCCAATACCTTTAGCTCTTTTACTTTTTTCTTTTGCACTGACTTCTTTTCTTCACCACCTTCCTGATCCTTCTTGGCTAGGGAGAAAAATTAGAAAGGTAGGATTAACAATAAACCAAATTCCATCACTGAGAAATTTCAATTTACAGAACAACTAGGGAGATTATTACGTTTCTGCAAGCAACTGCCCAGGGACTCTGTGAATATGGTTAATCTACAGAAGGAATCCTGATGCCTAAATATCAACTTGTCCATAAAATATATAGAAAAAGGGACAGAATGACTTCTTTGTAAATACTATTCCCCCTTCCCCATTTCTAAACACTACTCATCAGTATTCCACATACAAGTCAAATCCAATCTCCTCTAGGAAATTTTCCTTGACTATACACTATCCTAAAAGAAACTCTCTTTCCTTTGAATTCTTATTGTACTCATTGATTGTAACATTAGCTTGGCTATTAAAATACCCTATTATGATACCTCTTAAATAGCCATCTTGAAAATTTCTTTAAACTCTCTATATTATAGTTATCCCTTCCACATCACAACTCTCCCCATAACAGCTGCAATATATCACAGACAGATGCAAGAGATCATGGAACAGACATAAGAAATTAAAGAGGAATTTGGGGGAGTTTTGTGTAAGCTGCAGAGGACACAGAAAAAGCTTAGAAAATCAGAAATGCATAAAATATATGTATAGTTTTGTATAACATAAACATATCTTTTAATATCAGAATAATTCAGACTTCTTCTCTGATACAAAAAGAAGGTAAAAAATTTTTACCTAGATTTTCCAGATAGTGAAGGGAACCATGCCCCTAACCTTAGCAATGTGGAAGGGATAATTGTACTTCTAAACTTTACACATTTATATCCCTTCTATCACCAAATCAATTATAGAATCTACTCCTTCACAGCAGGTTCTGCATCTTCTACTCTACTGCTTTTTATAAGGACAGCAGGCACTTAATAACAAAAATAAATGATATTTATAAGTATTTTAAGGTTTACAAAGTATTTTACATACATTACCTCATTTGACTCTCACAAAAACCCTGTAAGGGAAATACTAGAAGAATGATTCTCATTTTACTGATAAGGAAACTGAGGTTCAGAGAAGCTAAGTCAATAAACATTTATTAAACACTTACCATGTGCCATTCACTGTGCTATGTCTAGCATTAGACAGCTCACTGTCTAATGGGAGAGACAACATGCAAACAACTATGTATACATAAGACACAGACAGGGGACATGGGAGGTAATCTCAGAGGGAAGGCACTAAGATTGAGGGAAGCCAGGAAAGGCTTTTTGCAGATCAACTGTAGGCAGTGTGGTAAATGGCAAAGAACATGAGTTCTAAATCTAGGTTCCTACTGTTGCCTTACTTATCTTGGGTCTGAATTTGCCCCAATTTACAAAACTAGCATCTGAGGAAGGGTACAAACCCAAGCCTTGACCGAAGTCCAGTCAAGTAACCCTTTTCACTGTACCACATTGCCCCTTTTAACATCTAGAAACTGAGTAATATTCTCTTAAAGTTTTATTTATGCCTTTTGTAATCATAACATCGTCCCCAAATATCTACCCTGCCCCATCAAAAACAAACAATTCTATTACACTAACATATCACAATTTGTTCAGTCGTTCCCCAATAAAAAGGGTACCAACTTTATTTCTAGTTTTTTGCTACTACAAAAAGGCCTTCTATGCACATTTTGGCATATCTGGTGATGAACTATTGATCAAAGATAACTAAGGAAATGTACTAGAGTACTAGGAAACACTTAGGAGAGGGAAGCATAGATATTTACATCCAGAGAATTGTGCAGAAGGCAGGGCAGATTGGTCTCTCTCTCTAGGCACTCTGTCATTTTGGTGTCCCTGATTTTCTGATAGCCTGTAGTTACTCCAGTGTCAGGACTTGTGTTTGAATATAACTCCTCATCTGGTAACAAGGAGAAGATCCAAGATAGTGTCCATGTGAGTTCTGAGGGGTATCCTCAACGCTGACCCTCTAAATCACAATTGTTCAAAAAAAAAATCACAATTGTTACTGGAACTGACAATTCAGAAAGCTTATGGATAGTAAAGCACTTAAGACAACAGTTCTGTCACTGCTCAGACTCCAACTTCACATTTCCATCAGAGCAGGAAGAACAACCTTGTATAGAGGACTCCTGTCATGTCTCACTGATGATGGAATCAAAAGAGGAAAGGCTGAGTAATTCTAGTTCAAGAAATCACATGAAGTTTTCAAGGGTCTAGAGATATGTGAATCTTCATCTATCTAGAGATATTTGAAGTCCAGAGATATGTGGTAGCAATAGTAAAAAGAATTTTATTTGAGAGTTCCTGCCAGAAACCCAAAGTGTCTGGGACTCCTCCAGGGCCCACAGGGGAGAAGCAAGGCCTTATACCATCTAGCTAACTCCCTGGCAGTATGTGGAATCAGCATCCAGCTACTGAAACCCTGACCTATTCTGTACATATGAAGTACTTTGCAGATAAGAGCACCAGCTCTTAAATAGGGCAATTGGCCAAATCTAGCCTCCCCAGGCAAGCTTTGCTGATCCCAATGCCCTCCTCCTAATGTGTACTGCTAGCCTTGCCAGGAAATCAGCTCCTAGAGCTTCCCACTCTTAGCCTGTGCACTCCTGGGGCTAGAAAGCGGAATGCTTCCTTTGGTGGCTGAAAGTCAGAGTCACTGACCTACTTCTGAGTAGTTTAGCAAGACCATGAAAGCAGCTTAGTTAAAAGCTTAATGTCCTCAGCTCATCCTATGAGCCTAAGCCACTCTCGGGAATTATATAGGTTAAGAAAATGGGAAGGGCTAGGGTTCAGATGGGAAGGGCTATACCTAGCCTAACCTCTTATTCCCAAGAGATTTCACTATTATTTATCAAAGCAACCCCTTGAGCCTAGCAGCCCCTAAACTAAGAGCAGCACTGAGCTCTGCCAACATAGCAGGCACACTGAGTCTCTGTCACTATAGGTACAATAATATCACTGAGGGAATAAGGGACAATAAAAGATTTGGGAGGTAGCAAGAGCCCAGATATTACATAGTTGACAGACTAAGGCCTCTGTGGATATGATATTCCCCCTTTCTGGTCCTAGGTCCATGACACAGAACCCCTAGTTCTGATTTAAAAACCATTTTCCAGATTTTAGAGAACATGCTACAGTCATGGCAGAAGAGAAGGCTATACCTTTTTTTTTTCCCCAATAACTCCCTGATCTTTTCTATACCTCCCATCCTGCCCAAATATTCCAGTCCTTTCTTCTACTACTTTTTCTGTAGAAAAATACGATCGCACATTGTATCTCAATGTGAAGAGGGGACATCTAGGTTTATCCCTTCTGGGTCCCAATGTACTAAGAGGATCTCCTAGCAGAAATTGAATCTGTTTTCCCTGATTTTTCAAGGTATTTATGACTTCCTATACTATTGGCAGACGATGAATCTCCTAGCTAAGCCTGTGATTTAAAGTCTCACTCTGAGCTCCTTTGTAACAAGGCCCACTGCACCTCTCCAGAGCAGCCTGAGAGAGGGTCTGACACAGAATGTTAATTCCTACAGTATGTAGGCATCTAGCTGGAAAGAGACACTGCTATGCCAGAAGGCATCTATCAGTCAAACACCTCCCTGCTTTAGGCTTTTTGAGAAAGGACTTGCTCCTTCTGTTGCCTAGGAAGCGGGGTGCCTGCAGAGAGGTGTGTCTCTGATGAACCGCAGCTGAGCGGAGGAGAGGCAAGCTTTGTCTCAGCTTGTCTCCTTCTCCTCCCCCTCCCCACCCCAGACTCCTCCCTGGCTAAGTCCTTTTTTTTTCTGCGTCACAAATACAAAATGGAGATATTCAGGGAGGAAAACAATCTGTATAAAATGGCTGAATGCAGCAGAACCAGACAGCTGAAGAGAAGCACAAGGACACCCTCTGCTGTCCAACCTGGGGACCTACCTTCCTTTATTTCTCATTCTGTGCTTCACCAAAGAACCTCCGCCTTCTTCACCCCCACCCCCAACCTAGGAGAAAATAAAGCATGGCACACAGACAAATTTTTTGACATGTACCCTCAAAAGAGAGTTGAAAAGAGGATTCAGAAGCTCGAATGTCTAACTCCCAGTCCATTGCTTGGTCACATTTTGTGTTAACAGACATTCCCTGCATCCACCCAGAGCACAAAATTCCATCATTCCAATTCATGATCTAATAGCCTCTGGGAGCCCCAGGATCACTGCCTTCATTTCCCCAGGAATTCCTGCTGCAGGCTCCTCTCAATGAAATTAACAAACAGGAAGTGGGGAAATAAAGGATTGTCTGACATCCTGGAAACAAAATCCTCAAGGATTTGCCTTAACTGCAGGTGGGGTGAGTCAGCAGAGAGGACCCAGGACACCGGGTAAATATTGCTAAGAACAGATTTAACCTGCTGCATGCTTGGGACAGGGAACTCAGCTAAAGGCACAGCCCCAACCCCAAACCCCAGCCCCCCTCCACCTTGCACAGTGAACAGAATGTTGAACTTGAAATACAGAAGACCTGATTTCAAATTCCACTTTTACACCTTCTAGCTATCTGACAATGAAGCAAATCATTTAAGCCCTCTGAGCCTCAGTTTCCTGATCTGTAAAACAGGGATATTATCTTTAGTATCCTATATCATAGTGTTGTTGGGAAATTGGAATGAGATAATGTATTTAAAGTGTTGTGCTGTTTTTCTTTTAACTTCAAAATGCTATATAAATGTCAGTTATTATTATAAGTAGGTATTACTTCCACATCTACCTCAATAATACCTGCTCTGCTTGGGATGATGTAAATGACAATGCCTAGGAACTCAGTATGGGAATGCCCTTAGTTTCCCTGTGACACAACTCCCGAGAATCCAGCCAGGCACCTCACTGCTAAATGGAACAACAGAGAAAAGAAGAAATAAGGTTTGTAAAAAAGGTTTTGAGTCAGCATTATGAGTGCTTTGTTTCTACTGCCTAGAGAGTCCCTACCTTGGACTCTCCTAAAGCAGGATCAAGTGATAGCACCCACATATATAAGCCTAAAATCACTTT